GTTGGTGGTTTCCTCATCCGTACACATCACCAAACCACTGCCCGCTCTGACACGGACTGGCAGGCTAGCGGGGGGGGAGGGGAGTTGGCATAGGGGGTTGGCACAGCGGGTTGCAGGCCTGGGCAAGCAGGGGGGCTGCAAGTCAGGCGTGAGGTGTGTCAGAAGGGGATTCTCGAGCATTGCTTGGCGTGAGGTGCATTAGCCGAGGCAGCCTGAGCGCAGCCCTGGAATAAGACTCGGGGCTGCAGCTTGTGGTCAGAAGAGACAGGGCCATGCAGCTGCAGCTGGCCTATCTGACACCTGCTGGCCTCGTGCCAGAGCAACCGGTCTAGGTGAGAGGGGGGGCCCTGCCTGCCGCCGCCAGCCCTGTGACTAGCTCCTCTGTGCATCTTGCCAGCAGCTCCCCTCTCCCCCGCCTCTCCTCCAGAATTAACTGCTGCTCTGCGAGCCGTTTCCTCTGCCCGGCTGGAGACAGGCTCCCCCGACGGAGGAGGGAAGAGGACAGCGCTGCTGCCTGCATGGGAACAGCGCTGGGGTTTGTGGTTCCCTGCCTGGCTCTGTGATTGACACATTGCTCAATCCACCATGCCTTTCCGGTTCCCCTTTTCCTCCAGTCCCACGTGCTCGAACGTGTCGTAAGAGCGCGCTGTGGTTCGCCACCCGTCTGGCGTGGCCGGGCTCTGGCAAGGACGGCTCCCAGGCAGCTGCTGCTCCTGCAGCCGTTTCTCTGATTTTACAAATTACTCAATGGCCCTTAGAGGAAAAGCCTCCGGCTGCTATTTCTTTGTAACTCTCCTGGGCAGAAGGAAAGCCCAGCAGTGCAGGCCTACTGCTGCCGGAACAATCCCAGGATCCTCTGCTTCCCCGCATGGCCACACAGCCATCGGCAGGGGTCAACCCAAGAACCTTCCACGCCAAAGACACCAGGTCTCTGCCACTGTGAACATGCAACAGCTCCCGGGGGAAAGCCCTCTGACCTTTCACCCTGGCCGGAAGTTTCCCCAACTACAGGAGATGTTTGAATGGCAATGCCGGCCTCCAGAATAGCTGCTGAGCTCCTCAGGTTACTGTTGCAGCCTATGGAGCTAGGGGAAAGTCCTACCCACACTGTAATATGGACGGAGCCTACTCCCTCCCCAAGAGGAGTGGAAGATAAACAGGAGAGTGGCCCAGCAGGGAGGAAGCATGGTAGCACGTGAAACTGGGCTTCCAGAAACCTGGAGTCTCTTCTTAGCACTATCACAGAACTGTTGGGTACCCTCGGACAAGTCACTGCCTGGCTCTGTGCCTCAGTTTCCCCTCCCACCTATCTTGTCTGTTTTGTCCTGCAAGCTCTTCTCGGCAGTGGGTGTCTCTGGCTAAGTGTATGTACAGCACCTAGTACAATGGGGCCCTAATCTCGCTCAGGGGAGACAACTGGTAATAATAACAGTCGCTGGAAGGGAGAGACTATCAGACAGGAGAGTGGGGAACACAAGTATGGAGGGCTTGGAAGCTGCAGAGACCGAGAGGCACAAGAGATGTATGGATTTGTCTAGTCAGTTAAATACCGCTTCAAGCAGCAGAACCAGCTGACTCAGGCATGGGTACAGGTAGAATCTAGTCCGACATCCTTGGGATCTGACTGGTGCCGAACCAGACAATTTACCAAACCATGGGAGGTCAATATTGTCTAGCAGCATGACCAACACTTCCACTGCTCACTGGGCTCTTAGAAGACATTTAGGGGAATATTAGAGCTAAATAACAGCACAGAACACAGAGCCAGGACTGGTGACTGTAAACAAACTTTATGGGACAGTGGGAAACTTGGCCACACCCACGTTCAGTGTATATCCAGCTAACTAAAGTCATGCCGGACCATGGAGGTTGCCAGACCAGAGAGTGCCGGACTAGAGAGGTTCAACCTGTACTAAGTTCACACATATTCGCTTTCCTATCCACTAGAGGGCAGCAGCGCACTTACACAAGAGCTGGTGCTGCAGATGGGCCTGAGGATGTGGGGCTAGCTAAGGGGGATCTGGGTTGCTTCCCATTATTTTTTCCTATTAACCTGCTATTTTTCACTCTGCAATTCTACCCTCCCCTGGCTCCCCCCCAGAGTGGCAGAGGAGGGAGAACTGCCTGGTGCTCTTCACGTCTATCTCCCTTAGAACTAGCCCCAGTGGCACTGCTCAGATCTGCTCCGGACCATCCCCAAACTGGCGTGGAGCTGGGGCTTTCAGTTCTGGCTCTTTGGGAAGCTACAGGCCCCCAGCGCAAAGAATTCCAGTGCACTGCAACGGGGTCCCACCGTTCCCCCTGCGCTAAACAAGAAAATGTCTGAAAATTGAGTCCTATTGCTACCTCACCCTCTCAGGTCATCCGTTAAACCAGGGGTGGGGAACTTAAGGCCTGAGGGCCAGATCTGGCATTGGCTTGCCTGGATCCGGTCCCTGAGGCTTGGGGCTGCCCCTCCTCAGCACTGGGGCTGCCCCCCTCAGCACTGGCTCCTCTCCTGCCCAGATTCCACACACCCCTCTGCTCCTGTACCCTGCCCGGCCTTCCCAACCCCAGCCTGCTTCTGCACCCTCCCGTCCATCCAGACCCCACCCCTCCAAGCCTGTGTTCCAGCAGCCTCATCCCACACACTTAACTCTCCTTTCTGGCCCCAAGCAGAGCCTAGGGGGGCCACAAAATCTACTAGTCCAGGAGCCCACAGGCTCTGGTGTGTGAGGGGAGCATGGGGAGTGTCTCTCTGCTTCTCACTTGGGGATGGGAGGGGTGTTGATTTATGTTTGTTTGTTTGTCTGTTTGCTTCTCACTTGTGTGTGGCCCCCAATTGATTTTTCCGTGGTCAGCGGCCCCCGACCCACAAAAGGTTCCCCACCCCTGCTTAAGCCAAAAACAGATCTGCTGCAGCTGCCCCTCCCCACCACGATTCCTTCTGCATGAGCACAAGAGGTGCTCTGGCCCTCGGCAGAGACATTGTACTGAGTGTGAGAAAACCAACTTCCTGACCAGCCCGAAAGTCCCCTTCCCTGCCTTGACAAAAGGGAAGCCTCCGGCAGAGGTGCTGGTCTGAATCCACAGGCTGCAGCAGACACCAGCACCAGAGCCCTCACACATCCTGTCACACCAGAGCGTGGCTGTGTCATCTTCCCACTGGGACAAGGTGCAGTTTAGTGGCATTTGCCTGCTTCTTCCCTCCCCCGCTACTGCTCATATCCTTGGGTAGATGGGTGGCCCCGGGTAGCTCCAGAACCAACGTCCGCCAACACCTGAGCTAGAGGAAAACTCCGCTTGCCTGTGGGCCAGCCACCAGTCACACAAAGGACCTGTTCCCCATAATGCAAATGCCACAACTCCCATTGACTCCAGTGGTCCTGTGTTTGTGACCTCCCTGAGGCAGAGGCTTAAAGGGGAGGGAAGCAAAGAAGTGGGGAGGTATTCGGAAGCGGAGTTGTTGTTACAGGGCCTGCCACGGGGGGGTTAGATACGGGTTCAGTTGTTCCCTTACACACGCTCTTCGGTGCACGCTTGTGAGCTCCCTGCTGGTGGCAGCAAGCGCACTGCTCATGACCGGAAGGACTGTCCAGCCTAGCCCTCCGTGTTTGCTGGGGATGGGGAGAGCGGCCCCTACCCATTCGTGGCAGACACATGAGCCGAGCAGGCCACGCACCATTCCTTGGGTCACGGACTCATCTGCAAAATCCATGCCGGGCATGTACCTGACGACAAGGTGTCTAGGCTGTCCTGGGCCGGACACAGGGTCTCATTTCAAGGAGCCCCAAAGGGCTGTTTCCTAAACTCGCTCCCTTTGCCTGCGCCTCGGCAGCATGTCTAGGTTCGCCGTCTATCGGACAGCAGCCAGGCACCCAGCACCCACCCCACTCATCCCAAACCCAACTCCTGAGCCCATTACCCAGCTGCCACCAGCACAAAAGTGCCGTCTCCCCTGCCCTCCCCTCCCCCCGCCTCAAAGTGGCCCTGGGCCACCCCAATTTGCCCATGTAGCGTGCTTGGCAGAAGTACAAGTCTGGAGCTGCCAAAGGCCTGGATGCAAACTTGCGTGCGTACCAGGCTATCTGCACACACACGGGGCTCCCAAACGAGGAACACTTGATTCACGCACAAACAGCTGCAACGCCCCCTCCCGCATGCACAGCTCTTCTCCAGCCAGCAAGAAGCCTGCACCACTGCACAGAGCTGGGATGCCCTCTCGTGGCCCAGATTCTGTCTAGCAGGCACCCATTCTCCTCCCTGGCATCAAGCTCGCTAGAACCCTGCAAAGCTACAGATACCTGCTTTATAGCCACAGTTATCCACATCCGTGGAGGTAGATGCAGGTATCTGCAGCTCATTTTTGCAGATATGGATGAGGATACAAATTTTGATCTTGAACCCTACAAATTTGTAGATATCTGCTTGATATCCACACACAGTCAACCTGTGGAACTCCTTGCCAGAGGACATGGTGAAGGTTAGGACTGTAACAGGGGTCAAAAAAGAGCTAGATAGAGTCATGGAAGTTAGGTCCATCAATGGCTATTAGCCAGGATGGGTAGGAATGGTGTCCCTGGCCTCTGTTTGTCTGGAAATGAGTGACAAGGGAGGGATCACGTGAGGATTACCTGTTGTGTTCCCTCCCTCTGGGGCATCTGGCATTGGTCACTGTCGGCAGATAGGACACTGGTCTGGATGGACGGTTGGTCTGACCCAGTATGACCGTTCTTATGCATGGGGTTCCGCAGCTGTCAATATCAATATCCGTGGCTCTCTTTTGCAGAGTCAGATGAGGATGCGGATAGAAATTGTGTATCCACGCAGGGCTCTAATTATAGCAGCAAAGTCTTTTCTCCAGAGATCTCTAAGCACTTCCGGGACATTAGCAAACTGAGCTGGACAGCCCCTGCTCCTGGAAGCATTATTGTCCCCACTTCATAGCAGCAATGCTCACCTCTCATATTTCCCTCCTTCCCATCTCCCCAGGCTGCGGCTGCGAACGCACTCCCACTCACCTCCAGCACAGCCCTGGCGTTGTTGTGCACAGACAGGATGTGGGTGATCCCGTTCTTTGTCAAACTTTCTCTATCCTCGGAATCTGTAGGCAGAATTAAACTTATAAGCACCCAACCCTGCCTTTAAAAACCGGCCCGTAAAGTAGTAATATTAGTTTTCAGCAGCTAAAACACATAGCGGTCTTTTGGCTAAGATCACATGAGTGTCAGTTTGGTATAATGGTCCAGCAGTCTTTCCCATCTCTAGTAGCTCTGATCTTATAGAAATTAAAGCTGGTCAAACCCTGGATTCTTCCCCTTCGCCCCCTCCCTCAGAAAAAGTTCCAACAAAAATGCAATTTCGTTTGGGTTGGTTTTCCCGGAAATTTTCAGTGGAAAATTTTGACTTTCTCAGAAAATATTTGGACAAAAATGGCCAGACCCTCAAAATAGCTCAGTTTTCAGCCAAAGCAAATTCAGTTTTCAGGGTTTGATTTTTTTTTTTTTTAAGCTAAAACGTTTCTGAGGAGAACAGTCACTGTGCAGGAAAATTTTACTTTAATCAAAAAAACAATGTTCTAAAAAAAGCTTTGATGGGAAAATATCATCAGCCCTGTGAGAAACATACTAGTGCCAGCATGGGTTCCTGGGGGGGCGGGAAAGGTACACCATTCAGAAATGGAATCATTCAATCCAGTCACACAGTCTTTTGACAGTGGAAAAGATTGTGGGCATTGTGCACTCTCATATGTAAACGGAAACGGAGTTTGAGACGTTCTGAACTCCACTCCAGTCACCCTTTCCCAGCTTTTTGGAGACTGTGGATGTAGATATTCTCCTCCTCCATACTTCTTTGGTTTATTTTCAGTCTGGAAGATGCCCGGACTCTCAGCATTAAGATGAGAACTCCACCAGCCGCATTGGTGGAGCAGAGCCATTTTGTGACCAGCTGGAAAACTGACAAGTCTGGAGTGTTCTTACCATTTAAATTCCCCTCCAGAGCTGGGACCCCATGGCCTCCTGCAAACAGGCACAGAGATGTGCCCAGCCCATAGGAATGACAGCAAGTTCTCCTGTTTAAAGGCAGCAGTGGCTAATTCAGCATCTGGTAGCAATGCTTAGGAGAGACATAAACTGCTCCCTCTAGTGACTACATAGTGTGTCCCAGATCCTGCTTAGCCGCTCACCTGTTGCAGGATTGTTCTGCAGTAACACAAACTTTCCAATCCCTCCCCCTGCCAATCACCTCTTTGGTTCCCTGTGCCTGTCTCCTTCAGGCGTCTCTCACTCTGGGAAAGGAATAAACCATGAGCAGCACGCACACAAGAATTCTAAGCAAGTCTAGGAAAACAGCTCCAAAGACGGGTATGTCTACACGGCAACCTGGATCAGGTTTGCACTAGTGCTCTAAACAGCTGTGTAGATGCTGCAGCTTGGGGGTCTCAATTCCCCCCACCCTACAAATAAGCAAACCAAGGCTGGGAGGCAGTGTAGATGTATTCTATCGGTCCACCTAGGACTGTAAATGGTGCTGCTATAACTAACAAAGCAAAGGTGGGTCTCCAGTTTACAGCCAGAATGTCCGAGTTCTAATCCCAGCACTTGACAGCAACTCCCTCTGCGACCCTGGGCAAGCCACCCAGCTGCTCTGTGCCTCAGTTTCCTCCACTGCTCAATGGAATACTCAGACTTGGCTCTCCACCTACCTCTCCCAAGCAGGGTGAGGAGTAATGAGTTAATATCAAAGGGATTTGAGAATGAAAAGTACTGAGAATTAGAATAAGCCCACACCCACCTGTAGCCAGACAGCCCCCCCATCTCATCCATCTTATTTGCCTCTCTGAAGCATACAGGACAGAGAAGGCGCAATAAAATCAGCATAGTCTATGCTGGCTCATCTGATCCTGAGAAGCTGAAAACATAGATATGAGGAGAGAACGATTAAGGCAAAAAGCTGGCCTCGAGGCTGCGAGAAGTACCCGGCTGGCACCCATGTTGATACGAACACACAGTCCCTGGGAGAGGAATTTCCCACTGAGAAAAGAATGCCCAGTACTTCCAATTTAGTTATCTCTCTTACAAGTGTAAATTAAGTTCACAACTCCCTTGTAAGAACTGGTCTCACAAAAGACAGACCAGCACCATTTGGCATAGATGGGCCCAGCACACACTCACTTTGAGTGTCATTCTACCCTCTACCTGCTGGTCGGGTTAGGTGTTTGACCTCCCGAGGTTTTATGGGGACGCCCACCTCGTATTTTCGTCTTTCCGAGGAACTGAGGGACCGATCCTGGCCTGACACGCTAGGACTGAGCGACGCAGAAGGGGGTAAAAATTGTACCTGGATGTGGTCCTCTGTCTTAAGTGTACACATAGAAAGAGTAAGCTGTTACTTGGTACCATTATTTCTATTTTTCTATCTTTATCTTCTTTGTAACCATTTTTAAGATCTATATTTTGCTAGTAGTTAAGAAATAGAACAATAGCCATTGCAACCATATGATTTATAAGCTTCCTCAATAAACCTGTAACTGTTTAAGCTTTAACCTGACTCCTTCAGTTGCTGTAACAGAACCAGGCACAATTTAAAAGAACTTCAGCCGGTCTTAAGGGACAGATATAGGGAGAGCTTGGGCGTTTGGATTTGTGTCACTCCCAGGTGGCAGATCCATTGGGGCACTTCTCAGCCTCCCCCTGGCTGCCCGCTGCGAAGGAATCACAGATTCTAGCAGCTAAAATCTGAAGTGTAATAAGCTCTCCCTGCAAACTTATTGGGGTGCTCGTCAACCTCCTCCAGGTTGCCCGCTGCAAGGGACCCCGGTCTCAGCAGTTGAAGTCTCGGGTGTATAGCACACACACACACCACTCACTGCCCTGACCATCGTCTGACACCACCCAGGACTTTGCGGCTGTCTCTTAGCTGCACACCAGTGTCCTTCTGGCCCTCGCTACTACTCTAGCGATAACGTGTTTCCTCCTGTTCTGAAAATCTGGGCCCAGCAGAACCACTGATGACTATGGCTCACAGCTTTGTAATGCTGCCTTTCTCTCTGGAAAAATACACACTTTGCTGGCTGTCCCCTCCTACACATTACACACAGTGGGTATCAACACTGCTGACATATCGTTGACAATCTACAACCTGACCTGGAAAACAATTCCTCACTCTGACAGGCCTTGGGAGACAGATCAGTTCTCCCCTACAGACAGCCCCCCCAACATGAAGCAAATCCTTTCCAGCAGCCACACATCATACCTCAGATACTCTCATCCAGGAACCTACCTCTGCAACAAACCCCGTTGCCAACCCTGTCCACACATCTATAAAAGTGACACCATCACAGGACCTAACCACATAAGCCACCACATCAGGGGCTCATACACGTGCACATCCTCCAATGTGATCTAAGCCATCAAATGCCAGCAATGCCCCTCTGCCCTGTACATTGGCCAAACCCAGACAGTCTCTGAGACAAAGGATATAAATCAGACATCAGAAATGGTAACACCCATGGTAGAGGAACATTTTAACCTTCCTGGTCACTCAGTCATGGATTTAAAAGTAGCCATTCCTCTACAAAGAAATTTTACCAACCAATTACAGAGAGACTGATAACTGGAATTTATCTACAAATTCATCTTGAATAAAGACATAAACTGGTTAACGCACAAAGCCAATTTCTCCTGTCTTTACCATCCGCATTTTCACATCAAAAACTATGAATGGGACACATCCAGCCCACTTAGGCTATGTCTAGACTGCAATCCTCTTTTGAAAGAGGCTTTTTCGAAAGATATTTTCGAAAAAGCCTCTTTCGAAAAAGAGCGTCTAGACTACAACCAGTACTTTTGAAAAAGCAAGCCGCAATCTGGATGCGCTCTTTCGAAAAAGCACAGTTTGCATTACACAGCGCCTTTTTTCGAAAGAGCACTTTCGAAAAAGGCGTTATTCCTTGTAAAACGAGGTTTCCTGTGGTTGAAAAAACTGCTGCGTTCATTCGATTTATTTTCGAAAGAATGTGGCAGCAGTCTAGACGCAGGGCAAGTTTTTTTAAAAAAAACCTATAGTCTAGACACACCCGTAATTAGCTTCATTAACACAGGTCCTACAATTGATAGGTACTTCTTTTACTGCTATATATATCTTGGATTCTGGTATTTCCACTCCAGTTCATCTGATGAAGTGGGTTTTCCCCATAAAAGCTCAGGATCCTATATATTTCTGTTAGTCTCTAAAGCTACACTGCGGAGCTATTTCGAGATACCTCCGGTATCCCAAAATAACTATTCCACGTCTTAAGAGCAAGCCCATAATATCAAAATATAACAGGCTCGCTATTCCGATGTCCCTGTAAACTTCATTGCACGAGGGTTAAGGGATGTTTTGGAATAGCGCCTTATTTCGAAATAAGCTACACAATTTGCATAGCGCATATTGTGTAGCTAATTTCAAGGTAAGGGTGCTGTGTAGATGCACCCTAAGGTGCCACAGGACTGGCAGGATTAACCTATGCATTCAGTCCTGGACTGGCAGGCTTCATTGCTACTCGAGCGAGTGGCGATCTAGCACAGGCATGCCTGCCCATGCTGCTATCACACCTCTGCTTGCGACGTCAACTTCTCGCTGTGGCCTTCCTGGCTTCTGCGGTCGATCCACGGAGAGGTTCTACTGCCACCAGGAGCGGCTTGAGGCTGGCTGCAGCAACTGGCGCCCCAGGCGGAACGCACGATCGGCGCCCCCGTCTGCAGGGCTGTCAATGGACTGACATCGGGGGGGGCATCCCCGTGACGTCATCATCGGGCACCCCGGGCAGCGGCGCCCTAGGCGGTGGCCGAGTCCACCTATAGCCACGGGCCAGCCCTGACTGCCACGCAAACGTACAGCCTTTCTCTCTTCATTCCTGGCTTTGCTCTGTCGCTGCACCGCGCCATGGAAACCTCACCAATGCCCAGTCGCTTAAGGAGCATTTGACACCTTTCAAAACCAGCACTGGGAGGAGAAATAAATTAACTGGAAAGAACGCTCCTTGACAGAGCTTCCACCTAGCCCTTTGCTGACCTTTAGAAAGAGCGCACCTCTTCTACACACAGGAGCCAAGAATCCCTCCGTCAGGGAAATCAGATCCTTGAGTAGCAAGGCACTTTTCCCATCTGGGCCGGAGTAGAAGTCTGAGAACACACCAGTCATCTAGAGTCCCCCATCAGTGGTCCTGCGACGGGCCCTAAGCAGCCTCTATTCCTTCAGTACTTACCCTCGCCACACTCCCGTGAGATAGGACCGTGCTCTTATCCCATCACTGAGACAGAGAATGGAGAGGCAGTCACACAGAGAAACATTGCTGGAGAAGGGAATTAAACTCAAATTACCCAAACCACTGGCCCGTTTTTCCTCTCTAGCTGCCCCTGCCGAATACCCCAGCCATGGAAGCCATGCCAGTCTAGGCAATACGATCACTAACTTGCTGAGAGATCTAGCGGGGCGGCGGGTGGGGAGAGTGAATCACTGAACAGAGCCCTTCACGCTCCCTGGAGAAAAAAGGTCACCCTCTCCAGGGAATGCAGGCTGTCTGCTGTGACGTGCAGGGCAAGTCCAGAGCAACACCCAGACTTCAGGCTTAAAGAAATGTGAGATTGCCAGGAAAATAGCCCTTAAAAATCAATACAAACCCCCCAGCCTAAGTTGCTAAGCCCTAGGACTCAAAGCAAGCTCCACGTTATGCTAAATATAAAGACCTCGGTGCCTATATACTGCAGTGACTGGATACTTCTGGTTCCTTATAGCTGTGTCTGAGCATATAGAGGCCATTTCTTTAGGGCCCCTATAAATACAATAGGAAAACTGCATCCTCTGGGTGTTGTTATTCTGTACTGGGGGCTGTGAAAACACATGGGAAGCCACAGTCCCTGCTCTCAGGCATTTACAGTTGAAGAAGTTAAGGGCGTGTGAGGTTTAGTAAAACACGTATTCCACAGATACCATACAAGGGTCATGGAGAGAGACACATTTGGGATTCTTGACCTGACCATTATAAACCTATGAAGTGACATCTGCCTTTCCAGTACCTTGACCCAGCTGCTTTCATAGAGCTGGGACCGGTGGGGCTAGATGGAGGGATGAGTAGCAGCGTGCAGCCTGACAGAAATTTGTAGGGCCAGCCTTTAAAAATGCACCAGCCTGTTATGGACTCTCTTGTCTCACATGCACTGTAGACAATGCCTAAAGTCCCTGCTCAGCTCTTAAATACTACGGTGATGGGTGAGATGGAGAAACCTAAAATCAACACGCCCAATGGACAAAAGAAACCACGCAGAGATGAAGGATGGTCCAGTGGTTAGAGTGCTAGTGCGGCATTTTGGAGACCCCACTTCAGTGCCCTGCTTGACAACTGACTTCCAGTGTGACCATGGGCAAGTCATGTGATCCCTGTGGGCCTCAGTTCTCCAGCTGTACAATGGGGTTAATAACACCGTCCTCCCTCACAGGATAAACACATTGATGGTTGTGACTAGAGGTGCCCAGACACCACACTGTTGGGCACCATGGCAGTACCATGGGTAGGACCCTCACAGACAACACGTGCCTCAATTCTCCAGGTATCCTGGCAATGTTTCATCGCCGTGCTGGTGGGGCCATTTTGAAAGGTTCAGCTAATAATTCAATATCCCCTATTCGCCGGACCCGTCCTGAGGAACACATTAAAATCTGTTCAGGTCAGTCACCAGGCTAAGCACCGGGGTGTCTTTCAGCCTCTTCCCAGAGAACAGCTGCATGCTGGGTAGTGATATGCAAATGAGACCATCAAGCTAACTGCCTCCTGCTAGAATCCCACCAGTCTGTGCCGTGCTGACACAAGGAACTGGTAACCTGGAGGGTGGGTTTATTTAGGTCAGATCTGCGATCCGAGGCTCATACTCCACCGTGCTAGCTCTCCTCAGCTCAGGGAGCCAACCTGGTGCATTCCACGCTGGTTGCTGCCAGCTCCATGTCAAACACACAGATTGAAGGCAGACTTCACATTGCCCAAAGAGCCTCCACTACATAGCTCCTTTTCTTTCCTCCTGCCTCTTCTCCTCCTCCTCCTAGTGCTGGTGGGAGAACTCCTGGCCCATCAAAAGGGGAATGAGGATGCCATCCGCAATACCAGAGACACATAAAGACACTTCTGGGCCCTTCTTTCAACAAGCAACGTGGCTGTTCTGATGGGCCAACCATCAGGGGCTCTCCTCGCCTCACCTAATCGCTCCCCAGAGAGCAGCTACCATGCGAGCTGTGCACTGGAAAGTACTACTAAGGTCTCGTCCAGGAGTGGGCAATAATTTTTTACCAGGGGCCACTTCAGAAATTTTTGAAGTGGCCCTGGAACACCCCAGAAGGGGCGAGGCCAGGACACTTCCTGCCTCCCCACCTGCAGACCATAATTGGCCTGGGGGTTGGGGGAAGCACACAAAGTCTCTCCCCTTCTCCCCCCCCCCAGAGAACCACCAGCTGTTCAGAACAGGCGGTGGTTCCCTCTAGGTGCTCATGCCCCTGGCAATGGGAGTAGACTTTGCGTGCTCCCCACTGCTGCCCCCAGGTCAATCAGGGCCTGGGGAGGGGGAGCACGGGAAGTCTCTCGCTCCCTGCCCCCACCCTGCAAGGGAGCACCATGCTTAGAGTCAACCACCAGCTGAGCAGCAGCTGGCGGTTGACTTTAAGTTACAAGCCCCGTGCAGGGCAGGAAGAGACTTTGCGCACTCCCTCCCTGCCCTGATTGGCCTGGGTGAGGGGGGGAGCAGCAGGGCCTCCGTGAGCTGGATCAACTCACTTTGGTGGGCTGGATCCGGCCCTTGAAGGCCCTTTTGCCCACCCCTGATCTAGTCGCTGGTCCGGCTGGAATTTCACAGTAAATTCATCTGCGTGGGCTGCAATGCGCTTATTGAACTTCCCCAGAGCCAGCCAATGGCTCTGGTGCAGTGAATAGGTCTCTCTCCTTGGCGCCAGAACTGCATGTAGCTCCCTTTTTGCACAAGGCCCCTGGGCTGAGGGACCTATCAGTGTCTAGCCACGTGTGCGGATGTGGGTCCTACTGGACACCGTTCTCTGTGGCCCAGCAATGAGGAAGAGCTCCAGGGCCCCTGCCAAGGAACTGTCTGCAGGTCCCCCACTGACCCAGGCATGTTTGAGCGCATGTGTGTGTTTGAGAGCCATTCTCTAGAGCATGGATTCCCAAACTTGGGGGCGTGAAGAAATTCCAGGGAGTATGCAAGGCGACCCAGCCCTCCTTCCCCCCCTCCCCGTTAATCCCCCCCTACATTTTGCTATTTTTTTTTTTTGGCCCCGATCTGTTCCTTTTTTTTTTGCTCAACAAGTTTTGCTGCTATGCAGGGGGGGTTCTCAAAAATCAAAAAGGGGGCATGATGCTGAAAAGTTTGGGAACCACTGCTCTAGAGCTTTGATGGGAAGGAGAAAGCCGCTTTTTCATAGTGCGTACCCCATTTATACAGCTTCTGGCTTAGACAGGCCCAGTCCTGGGTGGGCACTGAGAGACTCACAATGAAATCAGTGGGAGTTGAAGGTGATCAGCACCTTGCAGGAGACACTCAGGATCCAACAGGATCAGATCATTGGATTCTTTACTTGGTGGGCAGGGACTGTGTCTTTCTGCTCAACACCTAGTGCACTGACAGGTCAATAGCGCATGGTGAGTAATCAATGGGGGAAGGAGCGAAAGACACTTACCCCGGATGTTTCCCAGGTAGAGGCCATCAACAACCTGCAAAAAGACAAAGAAAGGGGGGATTTCAGAGGGGTCTCAGTGTCAGAACCCTGCTGCCGGAGCAGATGAATTGCAGGGCTATGCAAGAATAAATGACAATGACGTTAAACCTTGTGATCGCTTGCTATAGCAGCAACCCCGAGTCTGGACACTAAAAAGAGGGGTGGATCATTTCTGACCCTTACTGCCTTTCCTACCTGTGGGATGAAAACTCCCACTGAGGGGAAGGTATGTGGCTGCCTGCACTGGTCCCCAGCTGCAGCACTGCACCCCAGTTGCAGCACTGCACAATGAGTCACATCAGGTCATTCTGAGGGCAGGAGGTGCCTTTTTCTAAAGGTTCTGGCTTGTGACTGAGACCATATTCATAACCCTATGAATGTGAATATGACGTGGCTCAAATATGCTTTGTGCAAAATACTTCATGTAACATATCACTGTAAAAGTTATAATCTGCTGCATGTGTATTTTCTCTTTGGACACATGTATCATTCTGTATCTGATAATAAAGCCAGACACAGAGCTAATAGCCCTTTAGCAAGAGATAACTGGGTGGGAGAGAACTGCTTCCATGCAGACCTGCTACAAAGACATGTGTCCATGTCACCTGATGCCAGAATCCATCTTGAAGTTGGTACTTTTCCACATGGCTTTGTCTATACTGCAGGGTTTTTGCGCAAGAAGCTTTTTGTGGAAGAGACTTCTTGCGCAAAAGTGCATCCACACCTCAAAAACGCATCACAAAAGCAATGTGCTTTTGCGCAAGAGAGCGTCCACACTGCATGGATGCTCTTGCGCAAGAAAGCTCTGATTGCCATTAACAGAATGCCATCAGAGTACCTGTGTTTTGTGCTAGAAACCCCTGCGGAGCATCCACACATCCCTTTTTGCGCAAGAGCTTTAGTGCAAAAGGGAGTTATTCCTCGTGGGGACAGGAATTACTCTACTGGAAGCCCTCTGTCCTGTCGATTTACTGTATTTTTTTATTTTATTTTTTGTGTGCAAAAACACACTTGAGATGTGAACGCTCCACCGGTTTTTGCACAAAAACAGCCATTTTTGCACAAAAACCTTGTAGTGTAGACATAACCCAAGAGTGGGAGGAACTGAACAAAGGCTTCCCGCCCTAGGGAAATTCTATATAAGATGAGGGAAGTATACGATGGTTGTCTTCATCTGGCTTTAGAGACTGTCTCCCCACCCTGAGAAGATCCATGAAAACACCTGGAAACAAAAGAACTGAAACAACAGGGATGGAGGAGAACTGCTGGACTAAGATCACAAAAAATGTCTCTGGACCGAGAAGGACTTTACCTGAAATAAGAACTAAGGTGAGAAATTATGATTGGTACCATGTTCTCTTAATGTATTAGGCTTAGCTGGTGTGTTTTGTTTTATTTTGCTTAATAACTTACTTTGATCCGTCTGCTATCACTTGCAACCATTTAAATCCTACTTTTTTATATTTAATATGATCACTTTTGTTTATCAATAAACCCAGTGTAAATCAGGGATAACAGCTGTGCATCTCTCCCTTTCATTGATAAAGGGGATGAAAACCTTATGAGCTTGCTCTGTATAAAATTTATGCAGAGTAAGATGGATTTATCTGGGGTTATGGTTCCTAGGGTTGCCAGATGGTTTAATCAAAAATACCGAACATTGCCCCCCCCCCAAAAAAAAGGGGAGAGGTTGAGCACTAAGACCAAGAGAAGTCATTGCTTCCCCTTGCTTCAGGTCTTAGGGGGTTTTTGCTGGTGGCCATCTTGTTTCTAATGGAAGAGTTAATCATCATTGTTTCAGGACCTCCAGATAGATATTTGATTGCCAAGTTGATGGTTATCTTTTAAAATGAAGCCTTCATCTCTATTACAAAAATAATTTCTCAAGATATTTACAATTATATTTTATGAATTGGTTAGTTTTGTTTTTAATAATGTGTCATCAACAGGCTACTGTTAGATAATGATAAGAAGGCATCTTACCAACTCCACACACATAAGGGACTCACATCTCAGCTGAACACAAGATAAGACAGTGGTTAATTGTTTTGAATTTGAGGAACTCTCAGTACCTAGGGTTATGCACCAAGCATTCTCTTTACTCACGCTGGATTAAAAATGTAATCAAGTTGTCAAGCACCTATGACAACAGTTTTATCCAAAACTTTAGGTGTATAGTATTTTCTGATTTTTTTTTACTGGACAGGAGGTGATAATACTGGACTATCTGGTCAATACCAGACACCTGGTAACCTTATTGGTTCCATTGGGACCATGCACCTGGATACTGTCTCAAATTCCTTTGACTGAGCCTTCCCAGGGCTGAGTGGATCTCCGCGTCTGTGTTGCTCTGCTGTGATTTGGGACCCCCAACTCTGTGCCGTGGCTCAAGGAGACCAGAGGGGCTGACTTAGCAGGACAGGGTAATGGGGCACCCCAGAGGGCAGGTAGGTAGGCTCGGCGGTATTTTCAGCACATTAAGTGACAGCCTCAAGGGGATGTCTGTGACTGAACCGTCACACAATTGATTTATGTTATAATTGTATAGTAAAAATTAAGAAGCAGGCAATTGTTCAGTAATATCGGTCTGTGACACTCCTGTGAAAGCAAATAGTTTTTAAGTGAGGTGAAACTTCAGGTATTCAAGACAACTCGGACTCCTAAAAAGGGTGCAGTCGTATGGAAAGGTTGACAACCACTGGTCTAATCTGCTCTTAAAAAATCTCCAATGATGGAGATTTCACAACCTCCTGGAGCAATATATTCCAGTGTTTAACCACCCTGTCAGTTGGGAATTTTTGTCTAGTGCCAATAATCCCGTTGCTTCTTGTCTTATCCTCAGAGGTTAAGGAGAACAATTTTTATCCCTTCTTCCTTGTAACAATCTTTTATGTACTTGAACACTGGTATCATGACCCCTCTACCTTCTCTTCTCCAGACTAAACAAACCCAGCTTCTTCAATCATCCCTCACAAGTCATGTTTTCTAGATTTTTAAACATTTGTGTTGCTCTTCTCTGGGCTTTCTCCCATTTGCCCACCTCTTGTGTCAAATGTGGCTCCCAGAACCGGACACAGTGCTCCAGATGAAGCCTAATCAGCACAGAGTAGAGCAGAAAAATCGTGTCTCGTGTCTTGCTCACAGCACTCCTACTAATACATCCCAGAATGTTGTTTGCTTTCTTTGCAATACGGGTGTTTCAATCACCAGAATGGGTCCCAGGGCTCATCAGCAGCCCTAGAGCCAAACAGTCTGTTTATCCCAGAGCAGGTACCTTATGAGCTGTCACAGAACCAGCTCACCTCACGCTACCAAATCAGTGCAGGTGGGGTGGGGGTCAGATTCAAACGATGAGCCGAGGGTTCAGTCTCCACGACCCAATCAGCCCTTGGACTCTTTGTGGAGGCTGCCAATGAGGAGGGAACAGCTAAGCAGGTGGTGTTATGAGAACACCTGAGCAGCAGGGTGTGGACGAAAATCTCAGCTCATCCCCTGCTTCCCAGGTGGTCCACAGTCATGTCTTTCAATCATCAACCACCCTAGAAGCTGCATCAGAAGGAAAAGGTTCCTGTGTCCCGTTACCAATGTCCTAGGCTGTCCACTCCCTTAACATCCAGTACATGAACCATGCCACAGTATGCTATGAATCATTAAAAAGGGGATAGAGAATAGAGAAAAAGACAAAGACTGTCTTAATCCCTCAGTATAAATCTATGGTACGCCCACATCTTGAATACTTCGTACAGGTGTGGTAGCCTCATCTCAAAAAAGATATATTGGTATTGGAAAAGGTTCAGAAATGAGAAACAAACATGTTTAGGGGTTTGGAACAGGTGCCATATGAAGAGAGATTAAAAAGACTGGGACTTTTCAGCTTAGAAAAGAGGAGACTGAGGGGAGATATGATAGAGGTCCATAAAATCATGACAAGTATGGAGAAAGTGAATAAGGAAAAGTTATTTACTTGTTCCCATAACATAAGAGGTCGCCAAATGAAATTAATAGGCAGCAGATTTAAAACAAACCAAAGGAAGTTTTTCTTCACACAACACACAGTCAACCTGTGGAACTCCTTGCCAGAGGATGTTGTGAAGACTAGGACTTCAACAGAGTTCCGAAAAGAACCAGATAGATTCATGGAGGCTAGGTCCATCAATACTTATTAGTGTGTCCCTACCCTCTGCTTGTCAAAGGCTGGAAATGGGTGACAGGAGAGGGATCATGTGATGATTACCTGTTGCGTTCACTCCCTCTGGGGCATCTGGCATTGGCCACTGTTGGAAGACAGGATACTGGGCTAGAAGGAAGGTTGGTCTGACCCAGCGTTGCTGTTCTTATGTTCACTGTGACACCCCCAGAAGAGGCACCAGAGCTCATGCGACCAGCCAGTGACACCGCTGGGGAATGTGGCCCAAATGCCAACCCAGCTCACCTGACCCGCCGCCAAGCCCCAAGCACACGCCACGTTGCCTGGCAACCAAAACACAAGCAGCACCCGCCGCGACCTCTCAACAGACGCAGCTTGACTTTAAACGATGAGGCGCCACGGCTGTGCCAAGCGACGCGGGGCCTTTGTGTTGTGTTTCTATGGCAACGAGGTCTTGCACACAGGTTTCAGTGCTGGCTCCGGGGATGCAGCCAGGGCTGGGAAGAGATGGAAATTGTAATACTTTCCAATGGGGGTATTTCAGCCAGTGCTTCTGAGCAAATCGGGTCTGTCTTTGCGGCTCTGCTGCTGGCCCCAAAGCGGAGAGGAGATCCTCCTTACAGGGGTCAGGAAGCTCCTTTTTAATTCAAGTCATAATACACTTTACTGGGTCCATGAGTTCCCTTAGGCCGTGTGGGTCACTCGGTCTGCTGCCAGGCTCCTTACAGCCAAAAGGCTCTTCAGGATCCTGCTCTCCTGGGTAAACCGTTCCCTGAGCTCCTTGCGAGGGGCTGCTTTGAAGCCTAGCACGATCCAGGCTCTCAAAGGAAGCAGCAGTCTTGAGCCGG